TCGTTTCACGAACGGCACTTTTGTGGGCCGTTCGTGAACCGAAAACACTCTACATAGTAGCCCACACACTTAGAGGCATGTGGCGCTTGTTAACCGATTGCAACAATGTTGCAATCGGTAATTAGAGGCTCTCCTAGGTGGCCGCCGTTCGACTACCGACCATGCGGCGGTCGGCCATCTTGAATCCTTTGTTCCCTCACCGGTGTTAGGTCGTCGAGCGCATGGTACTAAAAACAGCTACTCGACGGCGCGAACACCGCTGAGCCTCCAGGCCGTTCAGGAGTTCCGGGCCGTTCGGTATTTCATTTAATAAATGTGTTTTTCGTGCGGCGTTCGGTTGTTTTAGCTGGGATCTGAGCGGTAATCTCACGAATGATGCGCTCAGACCCCAGCTATCTACCAAACATCCATTCGTTTAAATAGACCGCATATTCATAGAGTTATACATTTTTATACGAATTGTAAGTTCTGCTGCACAGAGGGATAATCCACTTAACGGTATATTCCAGTGGGAGGATCCCTCTCGTGCAGCAGTGCCTGATGGAAGAAATGCCCTGTATTGTAAGTTCCCCATGTAGTCCCCTCTGGGAATGCCCCTGGGAAGGGACTCAGGAAACCCCTTGCATGGGGACTTGTATAAATTGTGGAGCTGAATTAAAAGACCTCAGTTGACTCTCAGAACTGTGTTTCGTCCAGTTACTGGGAGGTTTGGGATATTGCCTTGTTGTTTCCAGCGCTTGACTGTGGATTATTTCCTGAACCAGCGGAATTCGTGGATTTAATATTGGCGTTTCGCTACAATTGGTGGCAGCGACGGGATCCAACTCTACAGCCGAATACAGCGCATTTGAATGAAAGGAACAACCGAACGGAAAAAGGGAATGGCAATTCGTATGCAGCAAACAGGTGAAAGAGATCAGTGAATGGGGACTGATTACACGACTTTAAAAAGGCAGACGCTAAAGGAACTGCTGGAGGCTAGAGGGAAAAGCGCTAGCAATAAATGCAAGGCGGTACTAATTGCATAGCTGATGGAGGGCGACCGAGCACACAGCAGCCCAACCCCACCAGCCAGGGAGGAAACCCCATATCAGAGGGAACTGAGAACCCGGCTGGAATTTGTACCTCAGCCAGTACCCCTGGACATCTTGACCGTTCTGATGGCAGACGTACAGGACTACATTATGGCGCAACAGCACCAGGGGGCACCATCCAGGGCAGAATCCATCGCCAACTCATTCTATGCTCCAGTGAAACAGAAAATACCGTACCAGGCATTTAAAGCATTCTGTGAGGAGAAGGATGAGATTGACCGGTACCGGCAGGATTTCGAGCGGCTATGTGACCTACACGACCTGGAGCAGGCAATGTGGGTAACCCTGCTAGCAGGCAAGTTGGCAGGGCGGGCAGCAGAGGCTTATCGCGCTGTTCCCAGAGAGGACAGCAAGGACTACTTTAAAGTAAAACGGGCGATCCTAGAGAGGTATGCCATCACACCGGAGGCATATCGGCGTAAATTTCGGGGATTGCGGAAGCCTGAAAAAGATTCCCACGCTGAGTGGGCACATAAGCTTGACCAAGCTTTGCAAGGGTGGATTCAGGCCAGCCAGGTCACCACCATGGAGGAACTGCGCCAACTAATTTTGCTGGAGCAATTCTTTAACGGACTTTTACCAGAGGCACAAGAATGGGTAAGGGACAGAAAACCCCTCACCCTAACGGAAGCCGCCCGGTTGGCGGATCAACACTTTGATGCCAGGAGGCATCATGGGATCACCAACAATGGTCCCCTGAGACCACGGTACAGCACCACCCGACCACCTCCGCACCAACCAACTCCGCTCCATTCCGGCCAGCACAAGGGAACCCCCCCACCACCATCCCGCTACAATGGCAGAGCAAACATCCAATGCCATACCTGCCGTCAGTGGGGGCATATGTCCCGGGAGTGCACCCAGAATCGGAGAAGACAGGCGTGGAACCAAGTGCGGCAGAATTCCACCCCAAGGGCAGCAGCACATTATTACCACGCAGAACCCGACAACCCCCGAGCTGATGAGCCTGCAGACCGAGGAACCTCTGGGGGTTTTGTATGAGGTGATGTCTGTGCAAGCCACGGACAACAGGCAGCATCACCGTCAAGTTGTGTTTGTGGGGGGGAAAGAAGTACAGGGGCTGAGGGACTCGGGAGCCACTTTAACCCTGGTTGCTCCACATTTGGTTCCAGATACGGCCCACACTGGCGGATCGGTGGCAGTCAGGGTGGCCGGGGGAGCCATGTACCGTCTACCCACTGCCAAGGTGCATTTGAACTGGGGTGCTGGGGAGGGGGTTGTGGAAGTAGCTGTGATGAAAAAGTTACTGGCAGATGTTGTGTTGGGGAATGACTTGGGCCAGATGACTTCAGCCTTCCTACCTCAGGCCCCTTCGCAAGAAGCTCATCCTGTAACTACCCGCCAACAGGCTCGCACCACGGTTCCACCAGCACACTCTGAGGCTCAGGTAAGAAACCATGACCCCCCCTCGACGCATATGACCTAGGAAACACCCCGACCGCCTTTGAAGCCGAGGTCCAGACAGACCCCACACTGCAAGTGTACAGGGATAGGGTAGACACGGACCAGGTGGGGTGGGAGGGGGAGCGGTACATTTGGGAAAACAAATTGTTGTACCGGGTAGCCGAAAGGGCGATAGGGAGCTCTGTGACCGTCCAAACTAAACAGCTGGTAGTACCCCAGAAATATAGACCCGAGTTACTGAGAATAGCTCATGACATCCCTCTGTCGGGCCATTTAGGGATGACCCGTACCCGGTATCGCTTAACTCACGCTTTCTTCTGGCCCGGGATTTCTAAAGATGTAAGACACTATTGCACCTCCTGTGATGTGTGTCAGCGGGTAGGTAAGAGAGGGGATCGCCACAAGGCGAAACTGTGTTCCCTACCTATAATTGAGGAACCGTTTAGCCGTGTGCCCGTAGATATAGTGGGACCGCTACCAAAACCCAGCCCATCTGGGAAGCGGTATATACTGACCGTGGTGGACTACGCCACCCGGTACCCCGAGGCGATTGCCCTAACCAATATTCATGCGGAGACTATGGCAGAAGCCCTGATGAAAATCTTTTCCCGAGTAGGGTTCCCGCAGGAAATTGTTTCCGATAGGGGGACCCAATTTACAGCCGAGGTCACCCAGCAGTTATGGAAAATATGTGGCATTAAGCCGATCGTTAACTCTGCCTACCATCCCCAATCCAACGGATTATGTGAGAGTTTCAACGGTACCCTAAAACAGATGCTCCGTACATTCGGAGAGACCCATAAGGACTGGGAGCGGTTCCTTCCCCATCTGTTGTTTGCATACAGGGAGGTACCCCAAGAATCTACCGGCTTCTCCCCGTTCGAACTGTTGTTTGGGAGAAGGGTACGGGGACCGTTGGACCTCATTAGAGAGCATTGGGAGGGGGAGAGTAGCGCAGATGGGAACCCTATTGTACCATATGTGCTGGCGTTCCGGGATCGCCTGGAGGTATTGACCCAGGCAGTGCGCACTAACCTCCAGGCCGCCCAACAACGTCAGCGCCGTTGGTATGACAGGGGGGCCAGAGACCGTAGTTTTCAAGTGGGGCAGAAGGTGTTAATCTTCAAACCTGTCCGCACAGACAAACTACAGGCCGTCTGGCAGGGCCCATACCAGGTGGTAGACCAGAGATGCGATACCACCTATGTGATCGGCCCATGCTCCGGGGTAGGGAAGCGACGCATGCTCCATGTGAACATGCTCAAACCCTACCACGAGAGAACGGAGGATGTGGCAACCATTTGCACGCCCGCCTCGGAAGATCAGGAGAACCTACCTCTCCCAGATCTGTTAGAGCAGGAGGAGCAGAAGGAGCCCTCCCAGGGGGTTCAGCTGGGGGAGCGGCTAAGTCCTCAAGAGTGCACCCAGGTACAAGAACTGATATCGGCGAAGGGCGCCACCTTTTATAACTTACCTGGGTACACTCCACTGGCCACTCACAGAGTAGAAACCCCGGGACAGCTCCCCATGCGACAAACCCCATATCGGATTCCCGAATCCGTACGGGAGCATATGAGGAAAGAGATTGAGGAGATGTTGCAGTTGGGGGTTATCGAACACTCCGATAGCCCCTGGGCACTGCCGGTAGTCCTGGTTCCCAAGAAAGACGGTACCACCCGGTTGTGTATGGACTACCGGAGGCTGAACGACAAAACCGTGTCGTACGCTTACCCGATGCCCCGGATAGACGAACTGCTAGATAAGATGGCCAGAGGTCAGTATCTCACTACAATCGATCTTTTTAAGGGATACTGGCAAATTCCACTAGCCGAGGACGCCATCCCCAAGTCGGCGTTTGTCACCCTGTTTGGCTTGTACCAATTTCGAGTCATGCCATTCGGGATGAAGAACGCCCCCGCGACATTCCAGCGGATGGTGGATCGGCTACTGGACGGGTTCCAGGACTATGCGTGTGCATACCTGGACGATATTGCCATATACAGCCAGACATGGGCTGATCATCTACAACACATAGGGGCCTAGATAGATCGGATTGGAGATGCAGGGCTTACCTTGAAACCAAGCAAGTGCCACATAGGGATGGCGGAGGTACAATACTTAGGACACCGAGTGGGGAGTGGGCAACAGAAGCCTGAGCCCGCAAAGATTGAAGCCGTAGCCAAGTGGCCCACCCCTAGGACTAAAAAAGTCCTTGCCTTCTGAGGTACCGCCGGGTATTATAGGAAGTTTGTGCCCATTTACAGTGCCCTAGCCAAGCCCATGACTGACTTGACGAAGAAAAACCTGCCCAGGCAGGTCATCTGGGCCCCAGAGTGTGAACAGGCATTTAACCAACTGAAGACGGCTCTGACCAATGCTCCTGTACTTGCTGCTCCTGATCCAACTAAACGTTTTCTTGTCCACACAGACGCCTCAATGTTTGGATTGGGAGCAGTACTGAGCCGGGTCGGAACAGATGGCGGAGAACATCCCGTAGCATATTTGAGCCGGAAATTGTTACCCCGAGAAGTGAGCTACGCCGCCATCGAAAAAGAATGCCTGGCCGTGGTGTGGGCCCTGAAAAAGTTACAACCGTATCTCTATGGGCAACCCTTTTCTTTGCTCACAGATCACAACCCGTTGGTGTGGCTGAACCGTGTGGCTGGAGACAATGCCAGGCTGCTGCGCTGGAGTTTAGCGCTGCAGCCTTTTGACTTTACTATCCATTATAGCCCAGGGAAACAAAACGGTAACGCCGACGGGTTATCTAGACAAACAGACCTTGAGAAGTGATCTGTGAGCCCTCCTCCGGACATCCCCAAGCCGATCCGTTGGGATCAGACTGTGTATGCCGGCTTGGTTCTGGGGGAGCATTGTGGCAAACCTAGCCACTTGGACAATATAAAGAGACTGTACCTTTTAGGGTTGCCTGTATGTCGGTGGGGATATGTGTTTAATTATGCATAATGTATGCTGGCTGTAATACTTTGTATTTCCTGTATTTGCTATCTGCCGAATGCAGATAGCTATTTGTATTGGGTTTTCCTTTCGTTTCACGAACGGCACTTTTGTGGGCCGTTCGTGAACCGAAAACACTCTACATAGTAGCCCACACACTTAGAGGCGTATGGCGCTTGTTAACCGATTGCAACAATGTTGCAATCGGTAATTAGAGGCTCTCCTAGGTGGCCGCCGTTCGACTACCGACCATGCGGCGGTCGGCCATCTTGGATCCTTTGTTCCCTCAGCGGTGTTAGGTCATCGAGCGCATGGTATTAAAAACGGCTACTCGACGGCGCGAACACCGCTGAGCCTCCAGGCCATTCGGGAGTTCCGGGCCGTTCGGTATTTCATTCCCTGTAAGGCAATCGGTCATTTTAATATGTCTTTTAATAAATGTGTTTTTCGTGCGGCGTTCGGTTGTTTTAGCTGGGATCTGAGCGGTAATCTCACGAATGATGCGCTCAGACCCCAGCTATCTATCGAACGTCTATTCGTTTAAATAGACCGCATATTCATAGAGTTATACATTTTTATACGAATTGTAAGTTCTGCTGCACGGAGGGATAATCCACTTAACGGTATATTCCAGTGGGAGGATCCCTCTCGTGCAGCAGTGCCTGATGGGAGACATGCCCTGTATTGTAAGTTCCCCATGTAGTCACCTCTGGGAATGCCCCTGGGAAGGGACTCAGGAAACCCCTTGCATGGGGACTTGTATAAATTGTGGAGCTGAATTAAAAGACCTCAGTTAACTCTCAGAACTGTGTTTCGTCCGGTTACTGGGAGGTTTGGGATATTGCCTTGTTGTTTCCAGCACTTGACTGTGGATTATTTCCTGAACCAGCGGAATTCGTGGATTTAATATTGGCGTTCCGCTACAAACGCCACTCATGATTCTTCTGGCAAAAGCCCTTTTTACGTTGTCTATGGCCAGCATCCCGTTGTTCTTCCGGCTGCATTCTCCTCACAGGTCATGCCAGTTCTGGATGAGCATTTGGCTGGTTTGCGTAATACTTGGGAGCAGGTTCAGCGTTCTTTGGTGGATTCCGCTGCTCGCCAGAAGGCTCAGGCTGACAAGCATCGCAGTGCTCCTTCTTATGTTGTGGGGGACAGGGTTTTGCTTTCCACGCGGAATATTCGCCTGCGGGTGCCTTCTATGAAATTGGCTCCCCGCTTCATAGGTCCTTATCGTATTCTGCATAAGGTTAATCCTGTTTCTTATGCCTTGGGTCTTCCTAGGAATCTGCGTATTCCTAATGTCTTTCACACCTCGTTGTTGAAGCCTTACGTACGCAACCGCTATACCCGGCATTCTCCGCCTCCCCCTCCTGTCTCCGTGGAGGGTCATGAGGAATTCGAAGTCTCTGCTGTTCTTGACTCTCGTTACCTTAGGGGTCGACTTCAGTACTTGGTGCATTGGAAGGGTTATGGGCCTGAGGAGCGCAGTTGGATTTCAGCTGATGCTGTTCACGCTCCCCGCCTTGTGCGTTCTTACCATTCTCGTTTTCCTGCCAGGCCTGGCCCTACCCGCCCGGAGGGCGTGTCCTCAGGGGGGGGTACTGTAGCGTTACTTACCTTATCCAGGGGCCGGCCACGGTCCTCTCTTCGAGCCGCGCGCGACTCATCCGACGGCTTCAATAGGAAGGCGGGCAGTGACCGCGAGAAGCGGTCACGTGTCCCGCCTGAATCTAAGAGCTGCAGCACGGTGGGCATCAGCGTACAGCGGTTTCACAGGACAGGTTCCACTCAGAACAGGCCTCGTCATGGTCGACCAAAGAAGTTGAGTGCACATGCTCAGCATCATATCCAAAAGGTTGTCTTTGGGAATAGGGAAAATTTATTCATACTTACCATAATTTTCTTTTCCTGGCTATTATTCATGGCAGCATTTAACATATGGGTTTAGCTCCTCCCTCTAACCCTCAAGACAGGAAACACAAACAATTAAGCATACCGTCCCCTAGTATAATAGGAACTCCATCAGCCATCACACCTCAGTCAAGTAACAAGAAGAAAATCCAAGAGAGGGTGGGAAACCAAATGCTGCCATGAATAATAGCCAGGAAAATAAAATTACGGTAAGTATGAATAAATTTTCCCTATTCCTGGCTAATCATGGCAGCATTTAACATATGGGATTCCCCCAGCAATAATAACACAGTGTAGCGTTACTTACCTTATCCAGGGCCTAGCCGCGGTCCTCTCTTCGAGCCGCACGCGGTCCTGCTGCTGCATGAGCCGCGTGCGGCTCATCCGACGGCTTCAATAGGAAGGCGGGCAGTGACTGTGAGAACCGGTCACGTGTCCCGCCTGAATTGTCCACTCTCAGTTTCACCCAGGCCCCCCTGATCAGGTGCTGAAAATGGAGAAGAGCCAGAAATGTCGCTCTCAATTCCCTTATATTCGAAGGCAGGTACTGAGCCCTCGGTGGCCATTCTGCTTGGACGAAGCAATTTCCCAGATGTGCTCCCCATCCAAACTGATTTGCATCTGTCACGATGACTACCCAGTCGATTTCCTTCAAAGGAAAACCTCTGGAAATGTTTTCCTCTTTCAGCCCCCAACGAAGCTTCCTTTTCAGGTCGAGAGGAATGTGGATCTGTCTTTCCCAGTCCTCTGAGCTGGTTCTGAAGTTCCTCAGGAGATACTGTTGAAGCGGACACAGATTCCATTAGGGTTAAGGCAGTGCTGGAAAATAATGGTGGCCACACAAAATATTGACAGTTTGGGCCCAATTTGGACATTTCCACTTAGGGGTGTACTCACTTTTGTTTCCAACAGTTTAGACATTAAAGCGGCACTGTCATGCCGAACTTACCTTTTCTCAATCTCTTCCTCTTCTCCCCCTCTCTCAGGATCTGTTCTTCATTTCTTCCTGTCTTCTTTAGTTTTCTTTAAAATCATAAGACAAAGTAGGGACTCTTTGCCTTATGGAGGATTCCTCCGCTTGACCAGCTCTGACCAGCGGAGGAGCAAAGTGTGCTTCATTTCCGCTGGTCAGAGCAATTTTCCCATGATCCCTAGCTTTCCTCAGTGTTCCCACAATGCTTCCTGTCATTTTACATGAAACTGCCGAATTGCGTTCTAACTGAATGACAACAGTATATTCGTTTCTTTTAGAACGCAATTCGGCATTTTATTCGGATCGGAATTTCATTTTAATGAATGAAACTCTGATCCTATTCATTGCTGTGGCTGCATTTTGCAGCCGCTTAGTAGATAACTCCCTAATTCCCACGGTATCAGGGAGCTATCTACTAAAAGGCTGAAAGACCTAAATTGGTCTAACAGCCAACTTTACTA